AATCTCGGACTCTCGTCAGAGGAAATTTACAAATACATAGTATTATATACATAATCATACTCAGAGAGTTGAAGCATTTATATAGTTCAACTTCCAGCGTTTTTAACCGTATATCATTTCGATACTTACATTCTTTTTCATACAGCCCAGTCTCTAACTCTATAATTAACTTTATTTTCAAGAATGTCCTTTAGTGTAGGGTATGGACGGCCTCTTCCCATCTTCACTTCAGGAGACAAAAGAAGCAGTTTTCCACCCGGTTCGCCATGCCGAGTAACATGGCCGGCTAGGCTTGACCTACGGCGCTTAACTACTGTAGAGATTGGTGGAAGGGAGCCGTAGAGTTGTTTATTAGTTGTAAATTTCCACCAAGGTTTGTTCTGTATGACCTGTAGCATCTTGGTGAAGGCGCCATCCAGCTTCCTGACCTGTGAAACATTCATACTCCACGACTCGCAGCCGGATAACAAAAGTGAAACAACACAAGTTTGAAACACTTTGGTTTTTGTTTCCTCCCTGACCCATGATTTTCAGACTCTTTGGAGAGAATGTATGACACTCCATGCCTGCCCAATTCTAACCTCCATGTCATGTTTTGAATCTGTATATCCCACCAAATATCTTAAGTCAGTGACCCTTTCAATTGTAGGTCCGTCAGATGCACAGAGCTGGTCCGAGGATAAAAAAATGAATAAATTTAGATTTTGATGCATTCAGATACAGTCCAATGGCTTGACGTGCAGTTTCGACTCTGTAGAGCAGGTCTTGTAGAAGTTGTATTGTGTCCTTGAGAAGAGCAATATCATCCGCGAAATCAAAGTCAGGGAGGGTCTCTGCCGGGTAGCGACTACTACGACGGAGATGCAGGGTGAGACCATCAGTTTTTGTGACACCTAACCGTAATGCATAATCTAAACATATAATAAATAAGGAAAATATAGAACACCAGTATTAATGTAATAAAAGTAAAAGAGAAATATTGCATTTTCCTAAATCTTCAGCTAGTCAATATATAACTACACACAGCACTCAAGAAGCTCATCATACTCTAAATTGACAATTTTATCTTAAAAGTTATTAACCAGGCATCTAGATTGCTATTGTTTTTTGTTTGTTTGTTTATCAAGATCTCCTTTAGTATAGTAAATTCCATACAGTTATTCCTGGAGTCCAGCAATGTAAAATGAAATAACAACAATAACTACTTTTAGCAATAATGATGATGAATAAAACATTCAAATTATGCTTAAATCATGACAAACTTGAAACAAAATCAGCATACTGTATTGGAGATTAGAGGTCAAATAATAGACATAATATGTCTGAAATACAAGTAATAATTGATGTACTTTGCAATGAATGGAAAATTGAAGTAACAAAACAGTAAACAAATATTTGACTGACACAAATAATAACAAAGTATAAAAAACAAATGAACCAATCTATATGCAATTAAATGTAATTCCTTTAAATCAAGTGATTAAATTAATGACTACAAAAGAACGGAAATCAATGCTAGATTGCTAGACATCTGATTTTGCTTTTGTTCAGAAAAAATAGATATGCAAGATGCATTCATGTTGTGTTTGAAGCTATAAGTATGAGATCGTCATTCTTTCTAAAACCCTTGATGTATGGTACCCTAGAAGTTTTGCCGTGTTTGAAACATTCCCTGTCAGCCTGTATGAAGGTTAGAGAACAATAAAAAGACATTCAATGATGCAGTGCTTGTTTTTGTTTTCTTCTTCATTCCATATAGGAGATTGTTATAGGTTATTTTACAGTAACTAAAATGTATTTTGTATGCAATACCATACCAAACCGCTAGGATGGGTTTAAAAACGTCTTTATCGTAACATAATTGGGATCGTCTTTCCTTGTCTTCTGCATATATGAATATTAAAACCTGCCCAAGGCGACCAGAGGACAGGTGGTCTCCTTGAAGAGGATCCCCTCACAACATGGCTGAGACATAATTGTTTTAGGTGAAGTTGTTTTAAGGTGAAATGCTGTAAGCATCTTCAGTACTGTCGTAAATGCAAGTGGGGAGGGTGGCACATGGAACAATTTACATCGAACAAAAGAATCAACACGATCAAAAATGGTGTAGTCGTCATGGGCAGGTTTGGACCTTGAGCGGGCACAACTCACGGCGGTCACGGTCGACCGCGTTGGCCAGGTGGTCACCTTGGACAGGTGGAAGTGACCGAGAAAAAGCAGTCACTTTGGCCAGGTCACTTTGGCAGGTTTGACTAAATCTGAAATTAACCACTACAGTCCAGAAAGCTATGTTAACGTTACGTTAGACGATTAGATATAGGGACACGTAATTTTAACACCTCGTAAAACTGAGATATTAATTTTCTATCAATTACATATGTAGTAACACTTATTGAAATAAAAAAAAACCCTTCCGTTTTTCTTCCTTGCCGTCTAACCTGAGGTACAAGTATACATACAGATTTATGACAAAGATCAATGTAATAATAAAGACTGGGTCGATCTGTTGTTTTCAATTTTTATGGTTCTAAACGTCCTCTTTAGTGCTAGATAAAGCTGACTAAACTGAGTTCTCACTCTCTTATCCCGTGTAAGTGGCACCAGACTAATGCTAGAATTAATCCAACAACCCACTCCAATAAATTTCTTCATTTTTTTAAAATATCCAAATCTTTTTTCAAGGCATGGCGATGGCACACTCAAGGTTTTTTACCTTATCTTAAAAAAAGCCATGTGTTTGCGTTCGCACGTACGTACAACAGAAATACTTATTTAAGTTATTTATGTCTAAGAGAGCAAATTCTTGTCACGTATCTTTTCCAAGTACACAAGATCGGTGGCATGGCAGGATTTGAACTCGGGAACTCTTGGTTCCGAGCCGAACGTTCTGCCGTTGCAAAAACATGGCCCCATAACATCAAATTTTATGTTTTCAGTTGAGTCATGACGGAATGGCTATGGAGTTTTACTATAATATATTTATGGAATAGAAAAAAATAATTATTTGACCTACTATGGTTCGCTGTTGCATGAAGGGGAGGAATGAGGCACAGACGCCCCCTTGCGGAGCAGCAGTCTAACTACATCCCCGAACACGGAAAAGATGTACTGTATTATTGTACAGCGCTGTTCCGGTGTAGTGATCTCGGTTCCTGGATCGTCGTTATCAAGGTTTGCACCTGCCTTTAACTATCCATGATTAAATTCTATTAATAATGACAAGGAGCTTTAAATAGATATGATCATCAGTAAATTACGTTTTCATATCGGTGATGTAATTTAGAAAAATAGTTAAAAGCAACATTTCGAACAACAAATCAAAGATTTCGGACTTCCCAGTTCCCGAAAGTATTTTGTTTTCGTAAATTTGAGAAGCTATGAATGAATCTTGATGATATTTGGAGTGGAATGTTGGGCTTAGCGACATCGCCACTGGACAACTCCGCTCACTGATAGAGGACAGGGACGGGTGGAGAAGAAGAACCCATTGTCTCCTGTCATGACATCTCCGATGTCCTCATTCAAGGTTTAAGGTAGATAAGCAGTGATTGTGTAAACAGAGGTCATATTCAAAAATGGATCTGCGTCTTCCCGTGGTACTGCAGCGGGATATCTTTTTAGGGCTTTTAAACGACATAATTATAACGTCAAAAATTACAACTTGTAAAAAAATGTTTCGACACTATCCTGAAAAGTAATCTGTGAATGAAAGAGACTACTTGGTAGTAATTTTTTACTGTATATATTGTGATGCGCGACTGACTAAGAACACAAAACGGTCCACAACAGTCTAGGTTTTATTTAGTTAATTTATTATGTTAGTTTCGTGATTCATATTTCCTATGTTTGATACAGGAGGACATTGTACAAATAAAAAAAAAAGATAAAAAAGAACAGTCGTTTTTTTTCAGTCCTAGGTCGTAAGAAATTGTATGCATTGCACGTAGAGATCAAAAGGTGTCGCTAGTGTACTGTACATCGCACCTGTGTGCAAAGCCTTGTCTACTTACTGTTTTTTTGGCGACGCCTCGGGGGCGGAGCCCTTAGTATAGTACTGCGATTGAATTGCCAGGAATTCTAAATATTCCACGCACGCATTCCCTAGGGAATTCATTTTTGGCAACACCTTGCGGGTGAGGTCTTCCCTCCCAGCTGTTTAGCCGTTTTTCAATGACTTTGGAGCTTTTTCGACAGCTTGGTCAGGATCATTGTTTGGAATTGAACATGGTCAGCATTTGAAGTCAGATGTTTCAAATGAGATGTCGTGATTGTCTGAATATAAACCAATATGTCACCGCGTTTGGTTGTTGTTTTTTTCTAGTAGATTTCCTTCTCTTTATGAAAAAGTATGTGTTTGGACATAAACCCAACGGATGAATTATAAAGTTCTTTTCAATGCAACTATGTGAGGATAAAGGAAAGACGCAGAGACAAGGCTTTCCGCACACTGGGCACGGGAGACTTTTAAGACGGACTGGCTATATATATGACTATATGATACTGGATACGTTAACCCTTTCAGTCTTAACTGAGTTATCTTTTGCTTCTTGAACTGGCGTCCCTTGTTGTAGAAATCCTGTGTCTTTATACTTAGTATTCTCATACCTCCATGGTATTCTGTATTACCGCATAACAGTGGTACATCACTTCAGCAAAGAATAATACATTTGTTCAAAGAAACAAACATATTTGTAACCGGAGCAATAACAGGGACTACAATAACAGAGAACTGTCTAAGTAATTACAAGGGAACTGTTCGGAGTTTCATCAGGTCTTGCACTATCATGTTCTTACAAGTTAGTTAGAGAGTGCAATCGTACCACTGCTCCCATATACACCGATTGTTCAGCATCTTCATGGTTTTTAAAATGTGTACATTCTCCTCGATTCGATTTGAACCGTCATTGGCGAGGTTTTCTAAATACATATAAAATAGGTCATTACAATATATACACTAAGATACCGTAAAACACAGGCAATGTATCATCGTAGTACAGACGTATGTAAGTCACCCCAGTAATCTCTAACTGGTGTAAGGTTTACTGTGGCTAGCAATGTATTATATAGCCTGCACGTGATGGCTCTGCTACTGATCTGGTTCCTTCCCATGTTTCCTTCTTTCTGTCGACGATGCTACTACTTAATACACATATGATATCAACATGCTCCTTCTACCATCATCAACAATATCGAAACAAAATTTTACACAAAGGAGACTGGAGTCAGTTGTCATGATCAGCTCTGTGACCGGGAGGCTTGAGTCAGCTGTGACCACGGCTTCTGGCATATGTGATTGTCCCGGCTATAGCACGGCAACTGCCGGCTAGAGCTTGCGCACTAGCTAAGGCACATGGTATTGCAACTGTATGGAGAGAAGAAAGGCTGTCATTGGTCCGATAAGGTGTGAGGCTTGTTGCTAGTGTCAGGATAAAACAATAGACAGGACTTCACACATTGAAGGTATCTATACATGAAATACACACCTACCATTATTGTATATGATACCTGGAAACCCCCGTTTAAATGGCTACCCTCTATCCACAGCAAGTTAGTTAACAGTAATATGCCTCTCACCGCGCCTCATAAAGATCTCGGCCAAAACATATCGTGGTGCGAACGTCACCGTGAGCAAATGGTAGCGGTTTGAAATGTATTTCTTCAAAACAAGGTGTACATTTCCTAAACAAGTCATCGAAACGTAGAAAACAGTTGAAGACAAGGCTGATATAGAATGTGCGTCAAAAGTACACTTGACATGACAGCTGTGAACTGCATAAGTAGCAGTCCTTCTGCGCCTTATAAATTAACTTAGCCAAAACTGGCCGACGTTACCAAACATCCACACCCTGTAGAATTATGGATAAAAGTACGTATGAACTCACCTTTTTATGTCTGTATCCCTGGTTGAGAGAAGGCAAAGGGGCTACGTATCTCCACGCCCGCCGGCCTGGGCAACTGTAGGGAAACAGCGGTGATTAGCCTCGTGTCAACTGTCATTATAGAAAAGAAAAATATAGATAAGAAAAGATAAGAAAAAATATAACAACTTAGCGAACGTACGTCACAGGTCCTCCATTACAAAACTAAGAATCAGTTGTCACAAATTACGAATTGAATCAGGAAGACATTACCGCACTCCTCTAGAACAAAGAACCTGTCAATTCTGTAGTTTAGGCCAAATAGAAGATGAAATACATTTCACCATAGATTGCCCCTTGTATAGTAGAGATAGACTCATATTTTTTAAGCCATGTATTAAGTATATTTCCCCACTTCAAAAATTTGACTAGTAAAGAGAAATTTGTATTCCTTTTAACTTTCGATAAACCTACTCTAAGTGATCTCACAGCCGCATAAATCCATACAATCACTACTAAGCGAGATGAAGCCGAAAAGAATAGAAATTAGACATTTATTTACGCTCTTATATGTTCATTTGTATGTAATGTATATGTTTATGTTCATGTTCTGTACCCATGCGACCTGTACTTAGTTCTGTAGAACACAAATAAAGGTCTTCATTATCATCGCGGGAATGTCTGCTAACAACTCACCCCCTGGTCGTACTGGCTCGACTTTCCACAAACGAATCGAGACGGGATATGAAGTTCCAAAACCAAAGGCAAAGTCAACTTTTGGGGCCATAGTGAAGGACAGACTAACAAAAAGGCCAGGCAGGAGGATTAGGAAAAAAATAGCCGAACAGGAAAGGGCAAATTTAGCGGAGAGAAAAAATACTAGGGCACAAAAGAACGGGGCTAGACGGGGCAATAAAAACACAACAAAGCATGGGAAAGCGCATCAAAAATGGAAAACCAGCTTTCAGAAACAATACAGCCACAGAAGGGCAGGAAATGACCAGTGAGGGGCGACCGTTACACCACAGGGGTAACTGGGACAAGATGGCACAGGAATGCAAGATGCGACACAAACAAAGGACCACCCGTGAAGTGACGCTTAGATAGGGATTCTCAGAAACTGAAACTCGGCTTTTCTAACCGGAGAAAAACGTTCTATCCGAAAAAGTTGGGGTACGGGAAAAGCAATAACGCCAAAAGCGCCACAAAATCAGCCGGACAAAGTGAACTATAAACTTAGCAAAGTTTGGAAAACAGGCCGAGAAAGCTAGCCGAAAATGCGGAACACGTGGGGACGCTTAGCAGATGGTCAAAGCTACGAACTATACGAAGTGTGTGGCAACTTTTAACGAAAATTCTAGCAATTACAGCAGCGTTCACAGGACAACAACTTGACGTACAATCCGGTATGGGAACCAGTGTAGAATTTAGGAGGAATCAGTGTAGTATTTCGGGGATCTCGGTTTAGTTCTTGGTCTAACTTTACTTACGTCACGGTTACGCGTCTATCTGATTTGCTAGTTAACCAAGTAAAACACAGAGCCGGGTCGATTTCGATTGTACGGGTTGCTGTATTGTGATCTGCTGTATATATACAAAGTCAATGGTCTAGTCTTAGAGTTACAGTGGTCTAGTTTCGGATCTAAGTTACAGGAGTGGAACCTACAAGGGATATGAACTACAGAGAGCTAATACAGAGTGTGTGTTACTAACCTGGGGTCCTGTGGTCGACTGAATCCTGACGCTGACTGCTCTCACCAGTCATTGGCTAAATGAGCATGTAAATGAGCGTCCTGCTTGTGGAAAAGGACGCGTGAAGAGAGCAAATGGTTTTAACGAGCTCTGATTGGTCAATTCCAGAAAAGTTTGAGCGTGGCCCGTGCGATACAAACAAGATGACCCCGTGTGGTACAAACCGGGAATTCCCCGTGCACGTAGTGCACTGGTCAACGTAAACCTAGCGGGCGAGGATCGGCTTTCGTGTCCGGCCAAGTCCGGCATAAATTTCCCTTTCTTAATGCCAATCTGTCGTTTTTGTTTTCTTTGTGTCTTTCTAAAGGGTTGTGATAACCTACTCTACTCGGGTGGTATTTTCGTGCGCGCTCGCTAGTACGTAACGTATATACACGGCGGCGATCTGGCACTGCGTTATTTCTACCGTAGCGGGTCTAAACAAGACGCAAGATTCCTATTTTGGGGTATAAAATGTTGTCACAGTGGTAATACACTATTTGAAACGGACCTATACGAAGTACCTTTCTTTGGCGACGCTAGGGAAAACAGCATCTCTCGATAAACAGAGATAAATACTTAGATCCTGAGGGGGTGCCTTAATTCCGACCTACCCCTAATTCCGTACTAGTTTGAAAAATCCTGGTTGCGGCGTTATGCATGGGAGCACGTGCCTAAAAATAACCACAAGAATGGACAAAGTTTTTGTGATGATGTCCGTAATCTCACAAAGTTTGTTTTAGTTCGTACACTCCGACAACAGACGAGTGAAAAATCTGTTTAAATTCGACGCTTGTTCGTTACCGTTACCTCAGAAGGGAGTTAGTCACGAAAAGGAACTTAGCCACGGAGGGAGTTTGGGCATTGGCCCGTCAATAATTAACTCGTTCCCCGGACAGTCTGCCTCGCCCAGCATGATCTCCTTCCCAGGATCGTCTGTGTGACGAACCCAGGCGCCAGAAGCCATCATGCGGCTGTATAATGTATTGCACAAAAGACTCACACACGCATATTCAATAGGGTTCTTTAATAGGACGCTGTGTAGGAGCATGTGGCGGTCTAAAGCCCCGCGGACACTTTTGTAATACTGGATGTTTCCCAGATCGGACAAGTGTAGGCCGTCAGGCGCAAAGTAGTTTGCAATTTGGGTTGCGTCTCCACAGACGTCTGTGGTCCCATACTGTGACCTTGGGGTAGTTCTGCACAAGTCCCTTCAGCGCCTCCGTGAATTTCTGAAGGCGCTGAGGAAAGTCAGACATGTTAGGTGGAATATGGAGACACCAGATATCTGGGGAACCTTGGACGAGCGCCCGGTCTGCTTTCTGGTGGAGACCCACTGGGTGTACACGTAGCGTGTCTATTATATATGGCAATACCTATTATAAAGCTCATCCTTATTTGGTAATACTTGCGTCAGATACCATTCTTTTCTAATAACTATACCTTACTCACGTACTTCCTAAATAATCAAACATAAATCCATACGAATGTGAGTTACAGCTCAGGGTACACATTTCATCAGTCGTTGATGCATGCATCATATTAGCATCCTCAAAAACAAACAATACAACTTCCTACATACAATACGGTGTTAAAAACACACACATTTTGACATACTAGTAGTACTAAAACAACAATCCGTTATAAGAAAAATTCCTTTTAAACAAGGTATATCAAAAGGGTTACAAATTTATACTATAATATAACTAGAGGTCCCCGATCTCATACCTTCGCCAAATGATGATAATCTTTATGACTGACAAATTATAGATTATTCTCCCTGATTTAACAAATAGGGTGCTCATTTCCATTCTCATTTTCATGGATATCAATTTATCATATTCGCAATGTACAGTCTTATTTTAACAAACAATGCCATTCTAGCATTTCCTAATAGATTATGCAAATGAGGTCCTAATTTGAATACATTATGTTTTCATGAGATAAAGATAAGTGTTCACCTTCACTTATCTTTCAAATACCACAAGTATGAAATTCCAGGCACTTATCATTACATAATTATAAAATTAATTATGCAAATTAGGTCTTCATTTACATAATCAATATCTGCCTGTGTTTCTCTCGTTCTCAATTACCAATTTCACGAGCTTTAATAGTCCTATCATGGAATGCAGCTGATTTATAGAATTTCCCCATAAATTATGCAAATCACATAATTATATCAAGCATCACGTAAGCTACCTACATACCAACAATAACGACTATCTATCAACCGGTTCTTGAGTTATCCTCTTTTGAATACTTTCAAACATATAGCCCTGCAGTTCCAGAGCAAGCCGCTAGGGGGTCTAAACTCACGTCACTTCTTCCCCAGCACAAGAGCTACCTACCATCTAAACTTCGTCACACTAACATGTTTAGATCATGAGATATGAAAACCGGAAGTTTAGCTGCAGTACCATAACAAGCGGCTAGGGGGCCCCAAATCTAATTATTTTGAGGTCTCATCAAGACCTACCCACCTACCAAATATCAAGACAATCTATCAAGGCCTTCTCAAGTTATCTTGTTTACAGACACACAGACACACACACACATACACGAACGCCTCTGAAAACATAACCTTCTTGGCGAAGGTAATAATTTTATTATTAAAATACGTCGACGGTGTGTTTTTTAAACACCACTCTTGTTTTGTCTAGCCTTGTTAATCAAATACTATGAAAACATGATGATTCGCGGATTCCCCTCAATTTTCTTATTTTCAGTATTCTTATGTTCAGACATATAATGATTATCATCATCATAATGATAATAGTAATATGTATATAACTATATTGTTGTGTTGTATGCCCATTGCAGTTTGTGTAATGTATTGATGTTGATAGCTAGCTGTGGCACACCTACAAACTGTGACATTTACACACGTACACGGGTCGCAATCTCACATCCTTATAAACACTCACTTGTCGTGGTACTGAGCTAAGATGTACGTTAATGTAAAAAAATGTGTGCGTGTTATGCAAAGTGTATATATAGTTTAGATACATATTGACTTGTGACAACCCTTACATGCTATACATAGGGATGTATATTAAAGACCGTATGGATATTAGAAACTCCTGAAACGATTGTATAAGTTGATACCTATCTCACACTAGCCACAAATTTTGTATTAGATTAGCCTTATGAAAATGTAGTTCACACGTACTTACTTAAGTTAGTAGATGCCATATTTGTACACTGTACAATTGTTGCGCAATAAAGTTATGTATATGAAATAGCATGGTATACAGTCTATCGCGGTTAGGGTGGGTTCTCTATTAGTTGCTATTTATCTAAAACTCTTCGGGGCTGCAGGAGCTTTTCGCTTCCTGATTTACCGAGATGTCGCGTTAAGTTCTGGACGACGGGAGTTCAATTAGCTCTTCCACCATATTTAGTTTATCAAGCATTGACATCCGGGATGCGTATCAGCTACTGTGGAGTATTTTCGGACGGTGGTTTAATGTATTCCTCACCTGAAGGGAGGTCGCGTGCAGTAAGTCCTGTGGAATGGCAGATTTTATTCCTCATCTCCACAAGTATAGTCTGTAGGATGCAGTATATGATACCTGCCGTGTCGATCTTTCCACCATTTGGCAGGGAGAGTACGTTAAAGGTTTATGGAACCGTAGTGACAGAAGCAAACACCTCCTTCTTTTCTGAAGTTAAACGATTTGCTCCAAAGTTCACTTCTGTCGACAGAAATGTTGTGATACAAGTCAGTCAGTTTTAACACGCTTTACTGGGACTGTATAAAGCCTCTGTCACAACCCGCCGTACGTGCTTCTGCGTGCTGTCTACGTGCAAAAACGTGGGCAAACGTAGGGCATCCGTGCGTGGTGAGTACCAATTCTGTACGGAATCCTACGGATTTGGGAGCACGCAGACACGTACGTGCGAATACGGGCGACGCGCGTGGCCCGTACGTACCGTACACAAAAAGCACGCGTGAGTACGGCCTCCTTACGGTAAAGTTGCAATCGTACAGAGATCGTGCGTTGTAAGCACGTACAACTCACTTACCACTTGCGCAACAAACGATGCATGCAACCACTCAAGGCCAGACGTGGCGTGCAGACCACACTCTTACACCTTGCGCACCGTACACTTTGCGAACTAAATGCCACATTGTGTAAAGAACGCGGTTAAAAACGTCCATCACTTCAACCATTCGTTCGTTTATATGTGCTCGAATTGATGCAAGAGCCAAGATTTCAAGCCTTCTATTTAGAAAAAACTGTAACTCCAGAAAAATAACTTCACAGATTAATGCCACACATACCGTCTCAAAAACAATAGTAAAAAATATATCTTGAGTATTGTGACAAGGTACTGGTTTTGCCCAAGCAGCACTCATTGAAGAAATCCAGCGGGATACCTTAATCCGTATAAAGAAACATGACAACGCATTCTCTACCGCGGACTATACTGTTAAGCACGCACTCCCTCTACTGAGTTAACATAGTGTGGAGACCTCACTCGTCATTGAACAACATTGCTCACGATAGAGACATCATTTTCATATTCATTTGTATGATGCAGTTTTATTCCATGATTCAACACAAGCAAAATTTAGACACTGTCTTCTTCATACAATATGCAAAAATGATGCCAAGTGGGAGCTTTTCCGGTTCGCATTAAATTCATGTTAACATAACGAAATTCTTGTACCACGTTTTGTTGGTATTAATCTTTATATCTTTATATTATTTTTCCGACCTCTCAGATCCCCCTGATGATTTTTCTTACGATATTTAGAAGAGAACAAACCTTGAAAAACAATTCCTTCTTTTTCTATATACCTAGTGTCCGTTATGTCTTTCATCAGGATCAAACTCTCCGTTCCTTCTGACGTTCCCTCCACCATGTGTGCGCGCTAACGAACACTACTCCCAACATCACCAAGACCACGCCTGCCACATGGAAAGAATTTGGTACTTTCTGCAGAAAGAAGTAGTCCAGCATTAGAGTGAACGGGATGACAAACATGCGTACTGTAGTTGAGATGTACGCCTTTACATTTTTTAAGCCTGCAAGGAGAAAAATGTTGCTTAGACTCTTGCAAAATCCCAGTCCAACAACGTATAACACTGTACGCAATGACATTGTCCAGACTGGCGTCTCTGCTGAATATGTTATTCCTAGTAATGCCACTGAACCTACCAAATTCATGTACAGCATACTTGTGACTATCGGCACCTCTAGTATACCTGTCAGGTACCTCATAAAGACCGCCTCGGGTGCTATAACAAACGACGCGGTTAGCGGAATTACTATTGACAAGACGAGTAGTTTGGTGGACATTCCATCTACTTGTGTGTTCCCTACCACCACTAGAACAACCCCTGTTACGCTAATGAAAATCCCACAAACATCTGCAAGAAACAGAGATTCCTTCAAGAACAGAAACCCGATACAGGCTACGAGGAAAGGCATCAGACCTTGCATGATACCAAACGCGATTCCAGGAACCGTGTAGACACAAGAAAGCATGTGCGCAATCATAACGGCATTTGTAAAAATGGAAAATAGGAACAATATGATATTTTGGCGTCTAGTTTTACCCGTTAATTTCGGCCGACAGAATACTAAGATAGGAATAAGTGTGAGAAGCTCAATAAAACGCTTTAAGAAAAGCATTTGGAAATTTGGAAGGCCTTCCTTGCTTATTATTGCTGTGAACTCCCCAGCGAAAGAAATAGCAATGGCTGACATGACCGTTAGCAAAATGCTTTTCGCTGCTTTGAATGAAGGCGATACCTCTTCAGCTGTACCTGAAACGTTTTCGCCTTCGGTTGTGTTATCGGTGGATGGCATTTCTCTTGTCTTTGTGCTTGCAGTTTTTTTGTTGAAAATTTGATCCTAGCAACGTTGCCAGATAGCGCGCTATCTATAAAAATTGGCGTCCACGTATTGTCAATTTTCTTAGCCTAATATTGCTACTTAGAGAGCAGCCATGTGGTGAAAAATCTGATTATGTTCTTTAGCTGAAATTCTTGCCCTTCCGTTTTTCTATTCCTCTAAATCAGTTTGTAGTAGCCATAGTATCTGTTAGTTGAGTTAACCTAGTTACCGTATCTGACTGTTCTGTTTAACTTTGAAGAGAAGATCAGTGAAAAGATGATTGCCCTATTTGGGTATGCTGAATTCTCATTGATCTCCTCGCTCAGTGAGCAATTTTTTTGCAGCGATATCTGCAACCTCGATGGTACTCTCTTTGAAGAAGCTTCAACATCGCTGGTGCTCTCTCTTGAAGATGAAACATTTCTGGTGCACTTTTTTACGAAGCCGAAAACTCGCTGGAGCACTCCCTCAGGAAGCTCCACGATGCTCTCTCTCTCATGAAGCCGCAAACTCGCTGGCACACTCTCTCTTGAAGCTGTAACCTCGCTGGCACACTCTCTCTTGAAGCTGTAACCTCGCTGGCACACTCTCTCTTGAAGCTGTAACCTCGCTGGCACACTCTCTCTTGAAGCTGCAACCTCGCTGGCACACTCTCTCTTGAAGCTGTAACCTCGCTGGCACACTCTCTCTTGAAGCTGTAACCTCGCTGGCACACTCTCTCTTGAAGCTGTAACCTCGCTGGCACACTCTCTCTTGAAGCTGTAACCTCGCTGGCACACTCTCTCTTGAAGCTGTAACCTCGCTCGCACACTCTCTCTTGAAGCTGTAACCTCGCTCGCACACTCTCTCTTGAAGCTGTAACCTCGCTGGCACACTCTCTCATGAAGCTGAAACCTCTCTGGTGCACTTTTTCATGAAGCCGAAAACTCGCTGGAGCACTCCCTCAGGAAGCTGCAACCACCACGATGCTCTCTTTCATGAAGCCGCAACCTCGCTGGCTCACTCTCTCTTGAAGCTGTAACCTCGCTTGATGCACTCTCTCTTGAAGCTGTAACCTCGCTGATTCACTCTGATCATGAAGCTGACACCTCGTGGTGTACTTTCTCGGGTAGCTGTAACCTCGCTAACGCCATTTCTTAAGAAGCTGCTAGCTCGATGATGGACATGCACTCTGTCAGGAAGCTGCAACCTCGATGATGTTCTTTTTCAGGCAATCTTACTGATAATCTCGGAAAGCTTTAACCTCGATCACTGATGACCTCTTTCAGGAAGCTACAATCTCGCTACTGTCCTCTCTTGAGTAGTTCCGTTATTTGATGTACCCTGCTGTGCAAATGTTATGTTGTCTTCTGTTCTGGAAATAAAAGGGGAAATAAATGAGCATTCTTGTATATGAAAATCGGCCACGTGTCTTCTTTTACTTAGAATACAATATACAGCCGTACTGTCCAAACGTCCCAATGGTTCTAGAAGACAAGTGCTTGCTTGAGGAAGAACAATTGTCACAGGCAGATGAAGGGGGTGGAATAGTTACTTGAAATTAAACGTTTATCTAAACGTTGTATAAAAATAATAATATAATACACGAGCTATTATAAAAAACGTAGCAGTCTTGTAGACGAATATACTGTGTATCTCTGAAGAAATGCATTTCTTTTGTATATTTATTTTCTTGACTAGCTGCCGCCTCGCCGCGTGCATGCGAAGCTGGTGTGTTACGCCGAAGGGCGGTTATACCGGCTATTGTACAGATACAAATATTATCACTGAACTTCTGATAGACTGAATTAGTTGCCAGAGTGATTGTCCCAGCTTGCACTTTATGTACATATAAAATATATCTACCCTTTTTTTTGTAAAATTATGCTCATATTTGCATAGACCATCGTTCATGACTAATGATATTTACCTTAAATCACCATAAAGGTGTGTATCTCATAGCATAGATGCATTACTAGGCGCGTGTCTATATGTGTGTCTTTGTGTGTGTGTGTGTGTGTATCTCTGTGTGTGTGTGTGTGTGTGTGTATGTGTGTTTGTGTGTGTGTATCTGTGTCTGTGTGCGCGCGCGCGCGTGTGTGTGTCTGTATCTGTCTGTGTGTGTGTGTGTGTGTGTGTGTGTGTGTATCTGTGTCTGTGCGCGCGCGTGTGTGTGTGTGTGTGTGTTATCACGATAACTCAAAAGGTATGGATGGATAACTAAGTATAAAACTTAATATGTGGGTCTAATTAATTTATTTAATGGAATTAATTTAATTTTGACTCCTTATAATGGTCCTGCACGGTAAATTTTGGTTTAGATATCTCGTGATCTGGACCTGATTGTAATCAAATGCCGATTATGAAAATAGATATTTACAAATAATTTAAAAGATTATTGCGGCCTTTGACATATGTAATTGACATGAGAAGAACATCGTTAGATTTTGATATATAGTGAACACAGTCAAACATAACAATTTAGAGCTCATTTTGCTTGATGGCCTTCTTTGTTATGACACAACTGTCAGTAGGCGGAGAAAGTGATTAACTAATATTTTTTGCATCATCAACCATAACATAATCTTTTTTCAGTCCTCGGTCGTTACGTTTTACATCAGTTCATGTAGGTATAAAATTGTGGAACTCTTTATACACATACTAAACGGGTTATGTATTTCTGATATTCCTATTAAATTAACTAAAAGAGTTAAATGAGTATTGGACTTCCGACGGTCGATGCTACATTCTATAAAATGCCTATAAATTTTTTGCAACAAATGAATTTGCACAACACTATGTTGCTCTTTATCAATGTAACCTGCGAACAAAAACCTACATTGGCCAAAGCACATTTCAGCGTTCTAAAATGTTTCAGCCTCTCAGTGTTCTCCGATAGGAAAATACAATCTGCAAATACAAATATCTACACCACAACCTCCCCGACACCAAAAGCCACATCATATAGTATAGCTTTGTATTACTAACCTATAGTTTCTTTTTTGTCATTCTTTGTTATGAAATACTGTCTTTGAGTGGGGAATATGATCAACTGAAATGTCATAAAAATTAGCATCATTTTTGCATGATCAGGGGGAATAATCTAAAAACCATCACCCATATGGGTTAACATCATTTGCAAAGGTATAGCAAGCGTAGCCAACCCTTAACTTAATTTGTGCTGTTGTGGCGGAAATACTTTCGGATTCAGTGCGTTTTGCTGCGGTGCGATGCTTTTATGTGAAAAATGCCCCCAACTCTTACATATAAAGGGCCTGTAAGGGTAGTACTGTATGTGCAGTCCATATTCACACACACGTTTATACATATATGTTCCCCGCAGAACAAGGTAAAGTGGTTGGAGATAACAGAAACAGCAGGGAAATCGGCTTCTCCTATGCGAATACACGAAAGCTCCTCCGTCAATACGTACCTTGCATGTAGTCTTACAGGTTTGGTAGGACTGGCTTTTTGCTTCAGGTAGTAATTATGACAATTAGTATTTAGTAATTTAATTTTTGAGCAGCATCAAATGATGTTTTTTTTTTCTTTCTAAAATCATGTCTATTATTCTATTCCAGTGTTTTCAACCATCGATGTGAATTGACAACTTTACAAAATAGTTTCCTTGGCAAAAGGGAACACAGTCTTGGGATGTACAATGTCTAACAAATTCCTTGACCAGTTACGAGTACCTCCCTGGAAAATGATCTAGGAATACTGGTTGACAAGGATTTAGATTTTAAAACGCATATCCACGTTATACAAAACAAGGCAAACCAGTTGCCAGGACTATTATATAGAGATCATCTTAGTTCATTGACCAAGAAACGTTCTTATATATTTTTGTTTAAAACCTTGATTAGACAGCACCTAGAACATGGAACTCCTCTATCTGTACAAACAGAACACTACCAGTTATAAGCTATAACAAGATCAAAAAAGGGCAACGGAGCTAGTCTCTTAGTATAAGAACTTAATATTGTACAAGGGCAGACTGAAGTCTCTTAAAACCCTTGTCCTGTGGAGCACAACAATTGTTGTTTTGCAAATACAGTACCATCTATATAACACCATGTATAGGTACGATTTGGGGGTATTGCTCGTGCAACGCATTACACCGCAGCGAAACGCAACGAATGGGAAGGTAACTATACCATTGCAGGGCAAAAAAATAGGGTCTATGATCTAATTATTAAGACATGAAATTATTGAAACATATTGTGCCAGGAATGCCAGCAGGACAAGGGTTAAGCTTCCAACACTTGTCTATAGGAGACTAAGGGGTGACCTGATCACCACATACATGTACAGGCATGGGTTGAATGAAACCTCTAATCCGTTAAAAAAAAACGAGTGGAAAACAAGAGGTCACAACTTGGGGGAAATACAAACTTCAGAGAGAATAAAATTGTACTATTCTTTACAAACAGGATGGCATTGATTAAAGTAATGGGTAGCACTACCACATTGCCCCATTCCTGTAAGAATGGACTCTTCAAAAAGTACCACATGCAAATCAAAGTTAAAATACAACTTAAACTCACTCTACTATTGTATAAATACAATGGTTACGTCCAAACCTGTACAGAGGCATCCATAACTCTTAGTATTCCAGAGCTACTTACCAACAACAAGGCGATCGGCGAAAAGAGTGAAAAATGCTGTCATCTTGAAGAGACGGAAATCCCCGAATAACCAGATAGTCTACGTGGCTCAAGTTGTCTGCTTTCCTGTGTGATTGGATGATTTTCTTTCGTCACTGTGTTTTGTAATTATGTAAATCAGGAGATCCTCCGAACTGGTTTGTCTTGTTCGGTGGGCCTGCGATCCCGATACATGTTATAGACCGAGCCCAACTTCTGATGAATAGATTGAGAACTGTACAGTAGCGGCAGGTATATATATACGTGTAGACACCTTTTATTCACGAAGTAAAAGCATATGAATGTAAAATAAGTTGTAATTAATGTAAAATAAGTTGTAATTCTTTTATTGAAACTGTAAAGTTGAATGTCATTTTAATGATTGTAAACCGTTAAGCATGTGTTGGATGAAAATTGTGTAGAAGTCTAGGCGTAGATTCCCAATGTCGTTTTTATATTATTGTGAAGTCTTTTACTCTGTATTGTTTCGTCTTATGTTGTTGGAATCCAGGAAGATTAGTCGCACAAAAAACTAACGGATATCCTAATAAAGTATCAAGTATCAACGAAGATGTCATTAGCAATTCAATTATGACGAATGATTCTATACGGTTCACCTTTAACTTTTTCTAACATATGTCTTGTACATATCCTAGACTGCCCAGTGTTCGACGTATCACTTAGGTCAACTCGCAATTAGAGATACTGATCATCAGGAGGTCAACATTTGTTTTGCACGCACAGAATTCATTTGGCTGATTGCAAGACACAAGGTGTCTCTAATGTTTTTGAACCGTTCTTTTATAAAAACTTATTTTAAAACCGCCATCGAAAGAACCCTCATAAACATTTTTTAACCACGCGGATATACAATGGTCGACAATATTATTTTATAAAATATGTTCGAAAATTTCGCATCTAAGACACTGAATGGAAACTATATTGGTTTAACAATATGTGAGATATGGTAATGAGGAGTGACCGTATTACTGTGTGTTTCCCTTCGGAATATTCAGTTTGCGTCCATTTCTGGTATACGTTGACATGAGACTACGACTCGGTAACCAGTGTTTAAATTCATAGTGGAAAGAGGGAAAAGAGATCTAGCAAATTTCAGACACAGCCTCTCGCGCCTTTCTGTGAGAGTTACTGTAGTAAGACTCAGATTTGCGAACTCGTGCATCAGTAGTTCAAGGGTACTATGTGAAATCGACGTTATTTCATTATCTAGACTAGGCTATTTCATTACATATTGACCACCACCAAGAATATTTGTGGTGTGTATTTCCAATTAAAAACCAAGGACTTTGCAATGTATTTGGGTGATTTAAGCGGTCACTACTAGTATTACATCGCTAAACTTTCATCACCTCAACTACTATTCGATCACTTCCACCAGCTCCCTCTTGCATGCCCTCGCATATTGATACAATTATGGACTTGTTATAGCTACTGTCTATTACGTGTAAAAGATGGTTTATTATTTCGGCTAGGTAGGAAGATCATAGATTACTTCCAGTTGAGGCCGCTCGCTCATTCAACAGATTGACATTTCCGGCGCATGCGGACATTCCTCTCTCTCTGGTTGTCCATCGTCTCCGATGATGACTTCTGTGCACAGCCCGTCAGGTGCGGACATTCCAAGGCCGTCTAATCATACATCGTTGGGCGTTTCTTCATATGTTTGTCTATTCTGTTCTTCGGCTTGTACCATCTGACATTATCTAGATCCGATCTGATGGAGTATGGTAGTCCAAAATTGCATATCAGATTCTTTTTTCCCTCATGCATGGATTATTTTACCTAATAAAGTAAGTCAAACCGATCTCGCAAAATTAAAAACCACAATACATCCCCACACTTACAATGTATAAGCTTAAAGAGACAAGGTGGGTTTACTTCATGGTGTAGTATAAATTTAAAAAAATCACACGGTAAAATGAAACTATAGGTTAGTAATAGAAAGCAATATATGATGTTGTCCATTTTAACATTTTCAACAATTTTAACATTTTTTAAAATTTTAAAATTTTTTATAATTTCTACCATTTCAACATTTTAAACAAATTTAACATGTAATCTTTTACATTTTCTTTTTAACATCCAATGTTTTGCTTTTTTAAAAGATACAAAAGTAAATTCCGATGCCAGATCCTCTGCCTCTAGAAAACATGTGGATCTTAGAATTTCTTTATAAATATATTTTACAATTGCTACACCATCTGCTGCTCCTTTAGTAGAGGTTTTCTGCATTGTTATCAATAAAGTAACGACTATTTCAATTATTTTGAATGCTCAATCATTTACATAATTATACAGCAGCTGTTAAATATTCTAAATGGCTTGGGAATACAAGTTTTTACAAACCTTTATAGTTCGAAAAACAATAATATAAAGATTAGCCATTCTTCGGTTTTCAGGTATATTCAAGTGCAAATTGAAAAGTATTAGGCAATGTTGATTTGATTATATGGATGACATCAGCGCCGTTTAAAAAACGTTTTCAAACATACTGTAAAATGTACAAAACAGTCAGAAACTGAGCAAATATATACGGTGAGTTCCAAAAAAAAATTAGAAATGATACCCATGTCGTAGAATACCAAAATCAAACGAAAATAAGAATTGAATCTGAAGGGTAATTTTATTCGCCAAACCATACCTGGTGTCATTTGTTTAGCCTTCACGACCACGAAGATTTCATAATAAAAGTAACTCTTTTGCAAAACTTGTTATTCCCACGTGCGCATCAGTTTGGAGGTTCCTAAAGAATGTCAGCCATTAATCAAATCAACATGGCCTTACCTGCATTTCTTTTTTCA